CGTGCGTCACAATCATCTGAAAGACACGAAATTATTTTCCTCGAAGAAAGAGGAGGAAGAGAGCGAAACTAAATAAACTAACAATGATTCCTCACCGTGAACGTATAATATCCACCTATAACACGTTTCCAGGATCTGAATAGAAAAACCGAATGATCTCTAATTTCGATCTTTAAATTTGATGGAAGAAAGAGAACAAGAACGCGTGCATTTCAACGAAACTCGAACGACCCGGGTCACGACAATTATCCATTTTTACACGAGAGACATCAATGATTACAATAATATGACAATACAATAGCGCTCGCGACAGCATGTACAGCGATAGATAGCGTAGCAAAGAAATTCGATGGATTGGAAACTGCAACCTGTCCGGCCGATCTTTCTCTTATCTTATCGACTCGTCTACGCTCACCCTTCTCTCTCATATTACAATTTATTATATATATATATATATATACAATTACATATCTAAGTAATCTTATCGTATTTGGAACAATTTCTATTTGGAAAGGAAACAAACCCACTCCCAGGGGTTCAATCGTAAAACCTTATCGCTTCGTAATACTCTGTTATTGCAGTTTGGCAGTCGATTGGCATACGAATTTCGTTTACAAAAATATCTCGTCGATGATAATATCAATTGCGTCAATCCCTTTTCTATCCTCGTTGTTAAAGCCAAGCGAAGAATCGAGAAGGATTTTTAGAAAAAAAATGTAATCAAGGGTGTCCAGTCCTCGCACGAAACTATCAGGATTGATGATGGATTCTTCTGTTTCGAGAATTACTATGCGCATACAATATAATTCGATCCATCAATCAGTCGCTCCACATTTTCATTCCTCGTATTTCTCGGTGATGATCGAGTCGATCGATCCACGAATCCACAATCGATACATATATATATATATACACACAATACGATATCGATAAAAATGATCGAGTCGACCGGACATTCTCGCCTCTGATGCAAGTAATTAATATTCACGCGTAAGTAATTTCGTTTATTCGCGCGTCTATATACTTAATAGCGATATAAAAAACGTTTCTCCAAAAATACATGTGGGCAGTGAATTTGAAATTCCCCCAAAAACACAATTCTCTCCCCATACTCGAGAGAATCAATTTTTTTTTTTACCCTGATTCGAGAGTAATCCGACCTTTGCGCGACTCTCAAACGCGTAAAAATCCCCTCCCCCCCCCCCAACCCTCTTCGACCACATTATACCTCAAATATGGTAAAATAGAAAATTAAGTACACAGATTTTTTTTTCTTTTTCTTTTTTTGTAGCATCGAGCAAACCTTGACCCTCTAAGTACCCTGAGGAGGGTGACGATCGGATCTTCCGTTTCTAAAACGTCCTCATCGTCGTCGTCGTTCCAACATCATTTTCATCCAATTTCGTTCCCAATCGCTTCGGAGATTCGATCGTTCCTTTCCTCCACCAGACTTACATCCCTTTCGATATTCCTGTCTAAATTATGTAATCCTATCGATCATCGTTCGAATCGTGCAGTTTTGGTCCGTCGCGTCGAAGACTGCGTTCACCGGTTCGTTGATTCATGCATCCTTCAGAAAGAGAGAGAGAGAGAGAAATCGATCGGTGAAACGACACACGAAACACGTGGATGAACGATCAGCCGTAAAAAGATACGAACGAATCTACGATCTACGATCAACGATCCCGGGGATCGTCGATTTCGAAGAATCGAACTGTCTGAATAAGTAAATATTACGTATTATTATACGGATCGTCGAGTGATTCTCGTGAAAAGAGTGATATGACTTCTACGAAGATGCGAGTTTCTTGTTCCCACTGACATGTTAAATTTTTTTTTTTTACTTTTATTTATTTATTTATTTATTTATTTATTTATTTATTTTTAATTCTCTTCCTATCATCAAAAAAGGAGGAAATCTATTCTTCTCTCGTTTGTCTATTCCACATTCCCCGTTTGTTCGTGTGTTTGTTTTTTCTTCTTTCCTTTTCTTTTCATTCGAGGCAGTGTTTTTAAATCGGCGTCTCTACTACAACCCTTGGACGGATGGTTGCCACTCACGATTTCGAATACTTCGATTTTCTAATAAATTGTATATCCGTGAATGATAGAAAAGAAAAAAGAAAAATAAACTAGGCGAGAAGAGACACGATCTTCGTTACGTTACTTTAAAAAGAAGAAGAAAAAAAAAAAATAGAGAGAAAGAAAAATTGATTTTTCAAATACAATTCAGATCTCGATCGCAACGTGGCAACCCAACACGGGATACGCATCTTACAATTCTTAAGATATGCAACTTGGAGATTTATCTACATCACGATAGGTACCTAAAAAGAAAAACGCGAGCATCGATCGTCGCCTTTAAAAAAAAAAAAAAAGAAAAGAAAATCGAGGCGGAGACACTTTGAAAAATTGCCTCGTCGTTTCGAGAACGATCGATTTACATTATTTACAAAAAAGAACATAGGCGAGGAAAAATTGTATATACGACGCTCATCTCTCATTATTCTCCCACTCTACTTTCAAACAGCCACTCGTCTCAAATGAAAATCACATCAACGTTTCACATTACACTCTCTCTCGAATACAGTTAAGCTAGTTTTTTTTTTTTTCTTTCTGCGAAAAATAAAAATTCTTCTCTTCCCTTACAGTCTATACAAAAAATTCCCCCAAATTCGGGAATGAAACAATTCGTTTTTCATTGCAAGCTCGCTTTCTATCCTTTTAATCGAATTCCCTAGAAATAGAAATATAATAATCCCTCGCAAAAATTTCACCATTTTCGCCTCGCACACAATCTCAAATTCTCTCTTCTGCGTATTTTCCAACTGGGACGATCCCTTTCACCGAAAGATGAACGAAACGCATCGTCGAAACAATCGTAAAAAGGAATAACTTTGTGTTCATTTGATCGATCGAAACCTGTTCGACGATCATTCGTCGATACTTTCTTCTTCGCTCGATCATTCGCATTCCCGCGGTGAAAGTTCAAAAACGCGAAGAAGCGATTATTGTCGACAATGTGTATACATAATACACGCCATTATTCATCGACTTGGTGCACATTTCGTATTTCGTTTACTATCACGTGCACGAAACCTTTTTGTGAGAAGATGCAATAGCCTTGACTGTTGTTCTTCTTCTTGTTCCTCTCGCAAGAAAACTAAAAAAAAGATCATCTGGAACGTGTGACGCTTCAAAAGTTAGAAGTTCCTTTTTAGAAGCATTCTTCTGATATATCTCGTGAGTATACAACGGTTTCTTCCTCGGTTTCTTTCTCCATTTTCACGCCACGCATGTTTCGTAGTAATAATACTATGTATATATATATATATATATGTATATATATATATATACATATACATATACATATACATATATTTCACGGTGCACCGCACCTCTTCAAGATATCTCTAAAGCATCCTCGTGTTCGTTGATCCCTGAATGAATCGAGGTATTGGAACATCACATTCCTGATTCCGCTATTCCTTCGTCGTCTGTAAATATATGTAACCATGGATGAGAATCGGTGGATTGATTTTCAATAGTTAAAAGATAATTATATAATTGAACGAAAAAAATCATGCCAGTTGTCGAAAACAAATGTCGGAAAGCTATTCGATCAGATGCAAAGAATATTAGCGTGATTTATTTCTGATTAATATCTGATGGTTTTTTTTTTTTTTGTTATGCGAGATTTTTTGTACTGCGATAGCTGTTAGAGATTAGTTCAACCCAATTTTTCTTTTTCTTTTCTTTTTTTTTTTTTTTGTTAATTGCTTGTAATATTTTTAAAATGGAATGGAAAAGTAATTCATGCTTTTTCGTTCGAAATTTATGCAAAACAACATCAACATTTCAATGCAGACTAATCAATATTAATAAAAAGAGAGAAAAAAAAAAAAAGATCACGAATCTTATATTATATAAAGAAAATTTGTGAAAAATGTGAAAATTATATTTTACGCAAACCGATTTTTCACAGTTAGCTTTTTCTCGGTAAAAAGATAAACTGAAAAACTGTGTGTACTTATCTGAAAAGCCTCTATTGCAAAATGTTCGAAAAAGAGGAAGAAAAAAAAAAGAAGAAGAAGAAGAAGAAGAAGAAAAAAAAACGAAAATTCATAAAAAAAATTATTACCCAATAGAACGAAGTTCCTCTTCACTGGAAAAATTATGTAAAAAAAGAAAATTACCTTTCAATATCAACGAAATAAATGAATCGTGTTAACAAACAATACGAAATCTACTTCTTTGCCTGTACATTCAAAGCAAAAGTAACGTGTTACTTTCTATCAATTAGTTCTCGTGCCACGTGCGTTGATAAAAACTATACTTAGTTAGTTATCCGCATGCAAAATACTCCATACAAGAGAGAAATCTAAAAAAAAAAAAAAAGAAAGAAAAAAAAGTAGAAAATAAAAAAAATAAAAAAGACAGGTTAATTAAATGAAAAATATTAAGCGAGGATCGAAATTACCATCGACGCCGGAATCGCAGTTCGAGGGTCACCTTTCCTTTTCATCCTCGCCAGGACTGTTTGTATTTTCAACCGAGCTTCGATTCTTGCCTGGATTCAAAGGGATTACGAGGTTGGAGAGGGGATGTGATTCAACTACGCACGGACGTGATACCAAAATTTACCAAAAAAGCAACACTTTTTTCACGTGAACACAAAACCGATATATCATCTTCACTTTTTATCTTACGATTACCAGAGCTAGCATCTACTACCATCACCACAACCACCACCACCACCATCACCGCCGCCATCACCATCTTCTATCAGATTTAACTTACTGGATTTGTTAATAATAAATTTATCCTCTTTACTTCGAGCGAAAGATACTACTACTGAATTATTGTGCATACATTTGATCAGATATCAATGGCCAATCGTGATTCTTCGTCAATATTATCGCGAATATTATCGTAGAATGGAACGATTAAGATGTATTACACCGCGAGTGAAAAAAGTGAAGAATTAGATGGACTATTTTTCGAATAATACACGTATGTGTATATATATTATTATTTCAATGTGTGTGTGTGTGTGTGTGTGTGTGTGTGTACACTTTGGAACGACTCGAATCGAATAATTCATGCACTACGTGTTCTCCGTTCTTCGAACAATACGACTGACTTCACACAAAAGAGAGAAAATGCATTGTTCGTTCAAAATTACAAGTCGAGTCAATTTCACGTGTACGCTTGAAAACGGTTGATTATCCTCGGAACGATAAACGATTCGGATCGAATCACACAATCGAACATCTAAAACCTCTTCGAAACTTACCTTCGAATCCTTGATTGTCGTGAATCTCTCGCGGCGGGCCGGTCATGTCCTGGCCCTCCAACACAGCCAGAAGACACTGGTGTATGCAAATGTACTGTTGCTCGGTCTGGACCATCCACACGCGCTCCTTCCTCATCGCCCACACTATACCAAATATGTCCACGTACTTGGACACCAGGATCTGCTGCAGTATTCTGTCCAACGTGATGAACGTGCCGCTACGCCCGACCCCCGCGCTGCAATGGACCACGATCGGCCTCTGATCCGGCCTCACCCTCTCCCTAAACGCTCGAACGAATCTGGCCAACGTTTGGGGCGGATTTGGAACGCCGAAGTCCGGCCACGTCGTGAAATGGAAGTGTTGGATCACCCTTTTCACGTCTCCCTGTCGAGCGGGACGCAACGCTTTCAAAGACTGTGCGATTTTTGAAAAGCGATTGATCGACCGTCGATAAAGACGTATCCTACTCACTCTGCACAGCATGAACTCCGTGATGCTCCAATCGGGATAATGGGTCTCGTTCAATATGGTGACGCAAATGTCACCGTAATAGACGGGGTGGGTGTCGACGGGCCAATAATGGTCGCACTTCTCCCTACCCTTCTCGATACACCTGGTCAGCATCACGATCGCCCTGCTGTTGCTTTCCCACACCATCCTCCAGAAATCGTCACGCGTCGAGTGCAGAGGGCCTTGGGTGACGATGAACTCTCTCGGTGAATTGTGCCCCTGAGAATTGGAAAAAAAGGAAAAGACATATTTTCGAAGTTTCGCCCGAATGAGAGGAGATTCCCAACTCACGGGGACGTAATTGGCGTTGATGTAATCGGAACCCTCCTCGTCGTCCACGGGTTGCAACTTGAATCTGCTGTGGTCGTACGGCAATATATTTGTGAAACGATTCTTCGGCCTGTTGCACGGCAGATCGGCGGCTGTGCAAGGTTGATCCCTTCCCACGTGTTTCAACTCTTCGAACTCCTCCGAGAAACGGAAGTCGGAATCGGCCGACATCGTGCGATAATGCTCGGAAAAATCTTCTATCTTAATTGGCCGACTATGAAAAAAAAAGGAAAAAAAAAAATTACTTCGAAAATCGTTCAGTTTGGAAATATAATAATAATAATTATTCAAAATTGATCTTTGGACCTGGTGTCGATCACGCTGTCCGGTAGGGACAAATTGTCGGTGGTCCTCGTTTCGGTCGTCTTGCGCCCCTGACTTCTCCTCCGCCTCACCAACAACCCGATCCCCAATAAAGCCAGTAAAAGCACTATCGGGACCGTGACTCCGACTATGATAGCAGTATTGTCCTTATCTACGTCCGAATAAAAATATAGAAGATGTTGAAAGATATCGAAAAGAAAGAAGAAAAAAAAGAGAGAAAGAAAGGCAAATACAATATCATACTCCACAAAGAGAATTATAGACGGCTTCTTGTCTAGCCATTCTAATTATAAATTCTTGAGTAAAGAGGTTATCTCCTCCATCTTACCTGCCAGCAGCAATCCTTGGACAGACATGTGCACGAAATAACGAGGCATGTATTTAGCAAGCTTCCTATAGCTACGCCACGGATTAAACGAAGAATAACGTGCTCGAATCTTGGACGAAGAAAATAACAATAAAAAAAAAAAAGAAAAGAAAAGAAAAGAAAAGAATCTCACGAACGTCTTGAGAATCTGTTCGAAACGGGACGCGTCCCCGTTTCGAGAATTTGCTAAGATCGGTTGAACCAGATTGCAACGCAACAAGCTCTTCGCGCGATCGTTCTCACCTGTTTGAATCGGGAAACTGTAACTCGTGTCCGTGAATTTGTCCGGGGCGGTGAACGCGCGAACTTTTACTCTGTACGTGGATCCAGATTTCAACGGCCCGTTGCAGTATCCGATCTTGTTGTCGCAATTCTCGCTCCCGATCGTGAAATCCTCCACCGACCCGTTTTTGAAAGGATAGTAAGGCTCCATCACCTGAAATAAGCGATTATTATTATTTATTATTATTATTACGTTTATTACACTTGTTCATTCGATTTTTTAAGACGAAAATTCTTGTCGCCATTCAATCATATTCGCGAATATGTGAGCGTATTTTTGTTAAAATCGATATTTCTTTAGATCCGTAACCGATTATCGAATACGGTTTTTTCTTTTTCGCTGCCAATTCGTAGCTCGCGATTTTTACGCAAAGTAAAAATAATTCCAAGAATTAATAAATATCGGGCAATTATCTTTGCGATCGTGTAATATTTTTTTCTTTTTATTTCACATTCGTTATACACATATTTTATCGAATCGCGTATATATAAATATCTTATTATCGTGTTGTTTTTCCTTTTCTCTCTCTCTCTCTCTCTCTCCCTCCGTGTTCTGATTTATGCACATGATTTATGATTCTTTTCTTCGACACGAGGAAATTTTTCAGGGACGCGGTAGTAAATCAACTCCGATTATATTATTCCTCTAGATAATTATTAATCCTCTAGATAGATAGAAACTTGAGAATCCATTTAATTATTTTGAACATATTGTCCACTTCGATATTGAATTAAAAAAAAACACGAGTACGGAAAAAGGAACACAACAGGAAATAAATAAAACTAAACTTTCAACGAATTTATTATTAATTACCTGGGTGAAGAATTTCGTACTTTTCAAAATCAACTCTTCCAAGACGTTCATGCTGTCATATCCGGGGAAAAAAGAGGTTCAAAAGAAAAGGGACACTTCACTTAAACGAAAAAGAAGAAGGAAAAATCGCAAGCGATCAACGTATTCGCACGTTTCGTTATTTTTTTTATACAGCACAAGGATGCTGCCCATTTAATTTCCACACGTCTCACCATTACGACGAATGATAGGACGGCGCGTATTTGGCCTCTAACGACGACCAGAATCAACCGCGTTCACCGATCGACTGTTGCACGAGGAGGAGGTGCGCTGCAACGCGCGACAGTTGCAGGTATACGACGATTGTTTATGCGTGGTCTCAAGACAGCCACTTCGCCCGTTCGTGATCCGGCAACTAAACGAGTTGCAACGCACCGCGTTTAATTTATTTTACATTGCAATATCGTCCGCCGTGACGCATCTTGCGATGAAAAAAATTTGACGTAATCGACCATTATGCGTCTTCCCAGAGACGCTTGGAATTCCTTGCGCGATCCATCGATACAGTGTGACGATACGCACACATGTATATTATACATAAAATTTGTCAAGCGTTAGAACTTTCGTTTCATAGCGCGAACAACGAACAAGAATAAAGATAAATGAATTTCATCGATAACTGTTCCAAGTTGGAAACGATTTTCCTTATGTTTCAGCGGAAGAGCTTGTTGCGAGAATCGAAAAATTCGTCAAGCGTTAGAAGTAGTTTCGTTCCATAGTACGAACAATAACGGACAAGAATAAAGAATAAATGAATTTCATCGATAATTGTTCGAAGTTGAAAATTGATTTTTCCTATTTTTCAACGAAGGAACAGTACGAACAACGAACAAGAATTTGATCGATGATAATTGTTGAAGAATTTGTCGTGCAAGAGAATGAAAAAGAATCTCTTACCTGATACGGTGGCCAGATGCTGTACGCCTGAACATCCCTCCAGCTGGGCATCTCCAGGCCGGAGGCGTTCTTGCTGTCGTCCTCGGCCACGATGATGGTGTAGGACGTGACGGCTCCGTTCTGCTCGCTGAAATAATTTTTCCTGAACCGTATCTGTATGGTGGTGCTGCTCCTGCACACCTCGGTCGGCACCACCTGCGTGGGCGGTTTAGGAGGAGCGAGGATCGGCATCTTCTGCTTCCACGCCGCCTCAGGCCCGAACCCGATCCTCGTCTGCGCCTGGATCCTGAACATGTACGTCTTTCCAGGTATGAGAGACTTGATCACGCCGCGGTACTCGCTCGGCTTGAAATCCTGCATCTGAGTGTGGTTCGAGCCCTGCTCGCGGATGCGATGGGAACAAGAATAATAGTTAATTTAAACCTGATCACGATTCCATTCCCCCGATTTCCCTCCGCGTGTCGAGCCTTGCTTTTAATTGCTCGCGCTTATAAACAATGTGTGCGCCGATAGAGTATTTTTTTTCTTTTTTTCTTTTATCAGTTTTCCTTCTCCTCCTCCTCCTTCTTCTTCTTCTTCTTCCTCTTTCAATTCGAGCGTGTTAGAGGTTCGAGAGTAAAATACGAGGTAATTTATCGAGGATAGGCGAGGCAAACACGCGTGAGTGAGTCACGATTCAATGCATACGTTTCCCAAATGAAAATGAAGTCGTTTCGTAGGAAAATTAATCAATGACTAGTCAAGCATCGAGGAAGGAAGGGAGAAAAGGGAGGAAGACGAGATTATTATTTAAAATTTTCCACGAGGGTTTACACGTAATCGCAAGATTACGAATTATCCATCGAGTGGAGGGATACAATAATTGTTGGATATAAAAAATAATAAACTCACGTCCAAACCGTAGGTGATGGTGTACTTTATTATGATGCCGTTCTGCTCTTGGCTGGGGAGCGACCACTCGAAGCTAATGTCGCTTGGCTGAATGTCGGTGGGATGGAACTTCTCCACCTTGCCGGGATAAGACTCGCTCGTGGTGAAACTTGCGCTCAGAGGATTCGATATCCTCAGATAGGAGGAGGCGGTGCCCGAACGGACCACCAATGTGAAAGTGTAATTTCTATGCGGTTTCAAGTCGGATATCGTTATCGAGTTCACCGTGGTGATGTTCTGGATATAATTCCCCTCCGTGTTTATGTATTGAACCTCGAAAGCGTCGTACTGTCCACGCGGTATGTCCCACGTGAGAGTGATCCTCGTGTCGTTCACGTCTATGGCTCGAATCGAGGTGACAGGCTCGGGATCTGAAATCACGGTTAAAACGCTCTCGAAAACGCTCGAAAAATCGAGACGAGCCAGGCCTCTCGCTCTCTCTCTCTGTTTATCTCGCATCTATTCCCTGCTGGTTAATTACATTTTTACATTTTTAGCGGATTCATGGGATCTCGAGCACCATAAGCAGGCTGAACTTGAAACCGAATGAAGAAACCACGTTCTTAAGTGGAATTTCTCTCGTACTGTCTCGGTGTACGCCTCGGTGTGTGCATTGACGATCAAGCGGGGCAATGATAATCGGAAAGACGAGCAAGATTCTTTTCTTTTTATATATATATATATATATATATATATCTTGTCTATCAGAGATAAAAAAGGCAAAAAAAAGTTTTTTCACACAAATTTTTAAATAAGGTAAAAACATACCTAGGATTTGCATAGGGTACGATCGATATCGATAACCCCTCTTCCTCCTACGATTCAAAAATNTATATATATATATATATATATATATATATATATATATA